AGAAACAAGTGCCACGCTAGTAGTAACAAGTGCCTTACTAGTAGTAAAAAGAACGCTATTAGAAATGTGCTTTGTAATGGCCGTTCCTTCGAGCCTGCCAACCTAAACACATGGAACTTTACCACTTCAGGTGAGCACCAAAACTACAAAACAGGTGACTAAGACCCAACTTCAAAAAGTAAGTCCATGAATGGGAGCATGCTCCAAACTTGGCATTAACTAAGTTCGCCAAAGCCCGAACAAGCTTATGACGGCAAACTGTAGCGCATTTTCCAGCAATCAATCAGCTGCCAGAAAGCGGTTCAACTCCTGAAAGGACTTGACGAGTTGACTGAAGAACTGAAAGGGCACGAATTGCATCAGGCACCCCTTTTGTTACATCTTCCTAGGAGTTCTCTTCCATGTAATTTCATGTTCAGTCGCTTTTGTTGGGCATTTTGGTCCTGCGGTAATGCCACATAAAGCACAGGATGCTCGACTATCGCTCTGTCCATGAGATTCTCACGGAGTGTTCGGGACTTGTCGAGCCTGGCACAGCAGAACCACAACCAGCGGCCGGTACGAAGCAATCTCCGACGGGCGCCTTACATAAGGGTGGAATGATTCTTTGCCTTCCACCGCCTCCGATTCCTTGCCATCTGTGTGGGGATCCTTCCCGTCATTGTCCTTCCTTTCCTGTCTTTCCTCACTTTCGCTTTCTTCGGACTCCTCCGCTCGCAACAGCTCGGTACAACCTCTGTGGTGCATGGCCACAGGATCTTCACAGGCCTGCTGGATGTTTGATTGGCGGCGCCAGGGTGCGCCTCGTCTGGCATAATGAGTTCATACTAGTAGCGTTCTTGCTCCCAGCAGTAGGGCCAGGAGCCCCTAGTAGCTTCTTGTTCTTAGTAGCAAGGCCAGGAACCCCTAGTAGCGTTCTTGCTCCTAGTAGCGGTGTCCTTTGTTACTAGTAAAACGACATTCAACTCACAATGCCAATCAAAACATCTTGGTGACCAATGAGCCTGTTTTATCTAAACATATCTTGGTCAGTGGCTGAGGATAGGATCTGGTCGCGGGTTCAGCCTGATGCACTGCTTTAGATGAAACCCCTTGTCAGCACAACACAACTGGGGCCAAGTCTTAAAGCTTCAAGGGCCTGATTAACTTTACAAGAAAGGGGAGTATCAACAAAATTTGAGATGGGCATGGGTCATTCCAATGATAGTGGGCGCGCTGATTGGTGGCTCTCAAACACATCGGCCGGGCGAAGTCAGGTGTGCGCTGGGCTTCGCTGGCTCGCACAGTCTTTGAAGCTACTAGTAACAAGAAGCCACTAGGAACAAAGGGCATTGCTAGTAGGAGCAAGGACGCTACTAGGGGCTCCTGGCCTTACTGCTAGGAACAAGAAGCTACTAGGAACAATGCGCTTTGAAAGGGACATTATCCAGACTTGAGACAGAATTGCACAAGTCAGGTCAGTCCGATTTGCCATCAGTAAAAAGAAAGTTTTCTAGGCTCCAATTTGACTTTGGATCCGCCGGTAATTACCTCATTCATTTCTTTCGCGTAGGTGTTGTTTGAAGGTAGCTTTTGCCTTTTCAAAAAAATATCAAATTGCCCTCCAAAGACTTGATCAAAAACACTTGGCAGGGGCTCGAGTCTCAAAACCCGTTCCAACGTGTGCTGAGCCATGGGTTCACCTAAGGAGACACCGCTTGACGAGCACAAATGGGGTGCGGCCCTCCATAAACTTGCACTCTAAAGCATGGTAGTTCCTGGAACCACCACCACATGACAAGACGCCAAACACCACATAAACCACATACAGTGTATACATGTGAAAGCACCACGGCACACCACCACATCACAAGCACGGCCACATCACTCAATTGACTAACTTCCTACTGGCCCTGCAGAAGCTTGCCTGGTAGGGTGCACTATGGCATGCCTAGTGGGCCGAGCTCCCAGAATTCACATGAGGTGTGCCTCACAGTCTCTGGAGCTTCCGCTTCTGTCTCTTCGGACTCCTCTGACAGCTCGCCTGGCTCGCCTCAAATCGTGGAAGACCAAGAACAAGAAGCGACCTTTGTTACTAGTAGCAGTTGCGTTTGCATCTTCTTGCGCCAACATGGATGGGGAAAACCCCCGAAAAGCTCCAAAAGCTAAGCTCCAATCCGGAAGGTTCCGGGAGGCTCTCTTGAGTGCGAGGAGGTTGGTGAAGGAAAACCTACGGACTGGTGAGCTTCAGATCAGCTGCTTTCAACCCCTTCAAGCCTCGAGCTGCTCCACTCCTTGCTCTGCGTACCTGTCAAAACGTGTGAGGATAGTCAACGTTCTTGAAGCCTCACTATTCCAACCCCCAGTCCTTTCAACTGCATCCATTACTATTAGGCCATCGCTATTGGGTTGGAGGCTATCTTGTTCAACGGGAAGTTGTTCTTTTACAGTAAATGTCCTTTTCGGACGGGTGTGAGGTTGCACACGGGATCAGCAAGTGCTGCGTTGGCCCGCGCGGGGCTGAGTTATTCAAGAAGCGTTCCTCAACATTGCGCAGCTGATTGGAGCTATGTTGCCAAAGCCAGCACAGCAACTCAGGGCTTTGCCAGGACTCGCCCAACCACTTCATGCTCTGGCTGCGCCCTTTCCTCGGATGTTGTCTGTAGTTCGAAGACCTCTAGCTGACTTCCGCAACCAATGTTTTTTTGCGTTGGATCTCATCCCCAACTCTTTCGCGCAATATCTCTGAACGTTTGTGTAGTCTTGTTGCAAGAGTCCAGCACATTGATGTCTGCAAGTACCAATGAAAAGGAGACGGAAGGAGGTGTTACATGAACAAGCGATTGTATCTAGCAGATTCTAGGAGTTTGAAGTCAGAACTTGTTGTAATCTTAGTGCGGCAGTGGTTGGAGAAGTGGTGGTGACCTGACTTGCTGGCAGCGGTCAACCAACCAAATTCTGTGGTAGCGCGGGGCGTGGGGCGGTAGGTATTGCTGTTGTGACGGTGGCAGCAGCACCAGCAGCAGCAGCACCAGCAGTAGTCGCAGGGGAACTAGGTTGTAGCAGTAGGTTTGGTTGAAAAATGTGCATGAAGTGCATTCTCTGGAAGATATGAGAGGATGTTTGCTGATTTCTGAAGGCGTCCGGCGTCCCCTAATCGACACCCGGCCATACACCTCTATTCTTAAACCCCTCAAGAGCTTAAATGACTCAGGGAAATCGATCGAGATTCCGTGAGGACCTGATCGCCAAAGTGCCAGTCTACCCGCCAGCAAATGTGGCCCGGCTTTGTGCGGCCTAGAAGAAAAATCTGGAACAGAAATCTAAGCAAAATCTCCTTCTGGAGGACACCGCTCTTAGGTTGGAGGCCATCGCTAGTAGGTTGGAGGCCATCGCTCTTAGGTTGGAGGCCATTGCTAGTAGGTTGGAGGCCATCGCTAGTGCAGCTAGTAGGTTGGAGGCC